CTGGTATTTGTAAAACTAACAATATATTTTGGCGAATTGTCAGGGTGGCTCGTACTCGCATAGTAAAAGCAGGCTAGTAGTTCATTAAAAAGATATATGCGGTCATTACGGGGACGTTCCAACTACGTATCATGGTAATACCCGGTTTGTGGTAACTTATCGGATTATTACATATCAGCGATGCTTTTAGATAAATTTTGAATGGATTATTATGTTATTTAGATTATGTTTGCGAGATATATTTAGAGGTATAAACAAAAAGATCGCCTTACATCCTTCGGACAAACATAATTAGGTACGTCGTTTAAATCCTGTTAAATCTTGGCACTAATAAAATATACGAAAAATACATCTCCTAGATGTATGATCAGATTCAATAGAATAAAAACAGAGAATAATGTGTATTACCTAATCACCATGAGGTAAAACAGGAATGCAGGAGCAAAATCGCCGGTCAAAACTAATAATTAATAATCTGAAGATGATTGTTTTGATAGACACTTTACATTTTTACTTACTAGTATGTAGTATGTAAATAAATTGTTAGCTAAATTGAATTTTAAAATGTTCTTCTTTAAGGTCAAGGCTCCAAAATCAACTATTTCTTTTGGATAAAAGCCAAAGTCCTTTAGGTCTAGGCACGGAGCCAGGTACCTAAGACTACGTTTTGAAAATCAGCATTTTTCAGATATCAAGGTAAGTTTGTGGAAAATTCCAGTGTAATAGAGAATGGTTTTATGACACCTCTCCTCGTTTTGACAGTCTACTATGGCTACTATGTTATCACAATAAATTTCATAGTTATGGAACAAAACTGCAAAAAACCTTAATAAAAACTGCTTAAAAATATTCTACTAACTATAAAAATAAATCAAATAGTATGCTTTCAATATCATTTCAGACACTTCTTGGAAAACCGTTAGTGAAAAAATCCTTTACTAGTATTTGCATACAAAAAAATCCGATGCTGAGTATTTTATGATAAAATATTTAAACACAACACTGCAGGCTTTAGAGACTGTCCAGGGTATTCCTCGAGGATGCCAAGCGTTAGAAAGAAAACTACCAGCCACTTCAGTTTTAACGCTGCTTTGACTTGATACGTTATTTTAAAAGAGCTCTCAAGATTCAACCACATTTTCCTAAATGTATGTAAAATTATGGTAACAAAGACTGTTATAAAATGTCTTTTAAAATGTTTTGTTTTCTAGATTTTCTCTTTGATGTAGTTTCAACTTTATTATGAATGATTTGTTTGAAATTAGTTGTAAGTGAAATAAAGTTAGATAATTTCAATTAATTACATTTTTATAGTTATGGTTACTTTGACTGCCTCGTTGGCCGAGTGGTCGCAAGTGCGACTGCCGGGCAAGGGGTTTCGAGTTCGATTCCCGGGTCGGACAAAGAATTACTGTGTTTTTAAAAAATATCAGTAGTAGCACGGAGCCTTACCGACTCGTAGTCACACCAGATTATCACACCAGTATGACAAACAGGATTTTTTTTCTCGTTTGTCACACCACTTATTTTTCTACACCATTTATTCTTAACTAGTGCTGTCCTAGAGCTAAATTAAAAATCATCAAATTATCAAGTTTTTATTAAATTGATGCCTTTATTTAATTAAATGTGTAACATAAAGTAATAATAAACTAACTATGTATAGTAATAATATGTACAAACAGGTAGTAAAAAAAAAACTCATAGGGCGTCAATTATTATAATTAAGTTTATGGCGAAAAGAGAAATCAATTGGTTTGAAAAGTAAACTACATAAAAGAATCCATCCCTATCTATATCAATGGGAAAGGTGCCCAGAACGCTTGCAGCATTGCCACGTTGGATGGCAATGCTGATTCGTTGACAAAAGAAAAGCCCGGCCCTCTGGTCACGCGAAGAGTCGACGTTTACTGATATCTCGAACAACACGATGAGCGCATGTAGAGGTATATTTGTGCCGCTGAGGGTTTCTGCACTTGCGGCAGCCGCCCCGGCACAACCTGCCGTAGTCAGAAGATGAGATGGCGAAGGGTATCGATACATGTTGCAAACCTTTAAATTAAATTAACTATCGAGTGTCCTCGAAATCTATCACTTTCGGGCGTCCTCGAAATCTATCGAGCGTCCTCGATCACTTTCGAGCGTCCTCGAAATCTATCGGGCGTCCTCGATCACTTTCGAGCGTCCTCGATCACTTTTAAGCGTCCTCGATCACTTTCGAGCGTCCACGAAATCTATCGAGCGTTCTCGATCACTTTCGAGCGTCCTCGAAAACTATCGAGTGTCCTCGAAATCTATCGAGCGTCCTCGATCACTTTTGAGCGTCCTCGATCACTTTTGAGCGTCCTCGATCACTTTCGAGCGTCCTCAATCACTTTCGAGTATCCTCGAAAACTATCGAGCGTCCTCGATCACTTTCGAGCGTTCTCGATCAATTTTGAGCGTCCTCGAAAACTATCGAATGTCCTCGAAATCTATCGGGCGTCCTCGATCACTTTCGAGCGTCCTCGATCACTTTTGAGCGTCCTCGATCACTTTCGAGCGTCCTCGAAATCTATCGAGCGTCCTCGATCACTTTCGAGCGTCCTCAATCACTTTCGAGTATCCTCGAAAACTATCGAGCGTCCTCGATCACTTTCGAGCGTCCTCGATCACTTTCGAGCGTCCTCGATCACTTTTGAGCGTCCTCGAAATCTATCGAGCATCCTCGAAATCTATCGAGCGTCCTCGATCACTTTTGAGCGTCCTCGAAATCTATCGAGCGTCCTCGAAATCTATCGAGCGTCCTCGAAATCTATCGAGCGTCCTCGATCACTTTCGAGCGTCCTCGAAATCTATCGAGCATCCTTGATCACTATCGAGCGTCCTCGATCACTTTCGAGTATCCTCTAAAACTATAGAGCGTCCTCGATCACTTTCGAGCGTCCTCGAAATCTATCGAGCGTCCTCGAAATCTATCGAGCGTCCTCGAAATCTATCGAGCGTCCTCGATCACTTTCGGGCGTCCTCGAAATCTATCGAGCATCCTTGATCACTATCGAGCGTCCTGGATCACTTTCGAGTATCCTCGAAAACTATCGAGCGTCCTCGATCACTTTCGAGCGTCCTCGATAACTATCGAGCGTCCTCGAAATCTATCGAGCGTCCTCGAAATCTATTGGGCGTCCTCGATCACTTTCGAGCGTCCTCGATCACTTTTGAGCGTCCTCGATCACTTTCGAGCGTCCTCGATCACTTTCGAGCGTCCTCGAAATCTATCGAGCGTCCTTGATCACTTTCGAGCGTCCTCAATCACTTTCGAGTATCCTCGAAAACTTTCGAGCGTCCTCGATCACTTTCGAGCGTCCTCGAAAACTATCGGGCGTCCTCGATCACTTTCGAGCGTCCTCAAAATCTATCGAGCGTCCTCGAAATCGATCGAGCGTCCTCGATCACTTTCGAGCGTTCTCGAAATCTATCGAGCGTCCTCGATCACTTTTGAGCATCCTCGATCACTTTCGAGTATCCTCTAAAACTATCGAGCGTCCTCGATCACTTTCGAGCGTCCTCGATCACCTTCGAGTGTCCTCGAAAACTATCGAGAGTCCTCGATCATTAACTCAAGTATTGCATTTACAACCGGCCAGTACCTACTAGATAAGGTTGCGTTATCATATGAACCACTGGACATCCACATAGAGCTTTAGTACCTATTTATTTAGACGGCCTCGTTGGCCGAGTGGTCGCAAGTGCGACGGGCAAGGGGTCTCGGGTTCGATTCCCGGGTCGGGCAAAGTATTACTGGGTTTTTAAAAATCTCAGTAGTAGCACGGAGTCTGGACATGTGCCCGGTATATAGCAATAGGCTCACCCCCTATTACATGGGACTCATAACATAAATAGTGAACAAGTAGGTGTTACATTGTATAGTGACATTAAGTGCCGCAATGGGCACCTCTGCATACCCCTTTGGGATAAAAGGCGTGATGTTATGTTATGTTACCTATTTATTAATTAAAAGTAGAAAATATTAAAAACTCGCCAAAGAACGAAAGACGGCAAACGCCGATCGACTTTATTGGAATGTAAAGGTACTGCACTAGTAATTGTCTACATAGTGTATACATAGTGTAGAAAAATAAGTGGTGTGACAAACGAGAAAAAAAATCCTGTTTGTCATACTGGTGTGATAATCTGGTGTGACTACGAGTCGGTAAGGGCACGGAGTATGGAACTGTGCCCGGTATATGGGAATAGGCTCACTCCCTATTACATGGGACTCATAACATAAATAGTGAAAAGTAGGTGTTACATTGTACAGTGGCTTAGTGTACACCTCTGCCCTTCGGGGATAAAAGGCGTGATGTTATGTTATGTGGTTACTTTTATTTTAAGCACGGTTGTCGTCGCTATCAATTTACTCTACTAAAATCCGGATTGTGGCCATTTTCTGGTTAACAAGCCAAAAACTTCTCTAACCAAATATTCCATGCAGGCACGGAATGCAGCGGAATGTAAAATTGAAGTTCGATACAAATATCCCATACCTATCCTATATCCAGATCAGCGGTTCAGAGTTTTAGTACCGGCGAGCCCACGAATGTTTCCACCAGATGGAATCCTTCAAAGGGATGCATTCACAACCGTGAAATTCAATTAGATTATGGGTACCTACGGACTCTAGGGTTTGCTCCTCTGATCTCGACTGGTTTCTTCAAAGTATTCTCAAGTCGCCGTCTGCTTTTTACTTTGAATCGAATAAATATGGACATTTCATCTGTTAGAATGTCTCGCAATATGGAAGTTGAAATACATGAATTAATATTATGCTATAGATATGTAAATTGTAGTCGAATCAATGGTTGTTGTGGTTATTAGTAAAATGAAACTGTTTTGTAATTAGATGATGCATGAATAGAACAAGAAACCAGTTTAAGAATAAAACATTTAATAAATATAACATAAATATTGTCATAACACTTCATATTTTGCAATAATAAACTTATAATGAAACTTTTACTGTGTAAATATGCCATCAATTCTTTATTATATTGTAAACGTAGTTAACTTTACAATCAAGTAGCAATAGAAACAAAAATACTATTATCACAAATACATACATATAATGTAGTTTTGTTCAAAAATAAATAAGTTGTTATAAATTTAATTGTTACTATTATTAAAATTGCATTTTTTATAGTGATGAGTTTCAAACGTTTACAAAATCGTATAGGATAACAGGCGGGTCGTAATTGCAGAGGTCGCGATCACAAACCGCCCACCAATAGTTGTAGAGTGGAGCTTTGACACAGCCTCGCCAGATGTAGCCGTCCGCTCTTAGTGCCCTTACTGCACAAATTTCATCAACTCTACAATCTTCCACGGGTAAATTACCACTGAAATTAGAATACAAAATACATGTAACTGCATTTTATTATTATTCGTATAATACCACAAAAAGTTTTGTGTACAAAATGACAATGAACTTACATGCTTCCTTCTAAACAATTTGCGCTATCGAGCATATCTCCTGTTTTGGTGGTCGTATTGACTTCGCATCTTAAGCAAGACATATCCTTAAACACAGATTTTCTAAAGTGCCTTGTACGTGAGAGCTCAATAACATTATCGATCCAATCTCGCTTCTTAGAGAACATAAATGGCATCTCAGAAATGGATATGTAGTTGCACAGATTGCATGAACATACGTAGGTAGAGATATTGTGATTTACGTTGTAACATCCACGATCCACTATTCCAAACGGCGTGTGCAGCGAATAACACACGTCATCGTCATGTTCGCACATTATCGACGGTATTCTGAAAATTTAATAATCACAAGAGAAAGCAATTTTCTTAATACAGCCTAATATTTAGTGATTATATAGGTTCCTTAACTCGAATCATTTGAAATTATTTGAATAGCTAGTACATTTATGGGATTTTTACATATTTATTTTATTGAATTAATAGTCTTGATTTTTTAATACTCACAATTTATTTTTAGGATCATTACAATCTTCTGTCGCAACATTATTGCACATGATACATGATCGCTTCATGTCACCAAACTCGCTTTCAGAAGAGTTAAATCGTATTTGTTGGGCAAACATTCCAACTTCCCTTTCTCTTTTATCAGGTCTAGAATACACTTTTAGCGCTTTCGAAAGTTGCAGATGGTCCACCTTTGAATTCAATACATCATTTTCGGAAAGTTCTTGCTTATCTAGCAAAGTAGTAAGAGGTAAGTTTTCATCTAGCATTTCATCATCTGCAGGTGTAGAAGTAGAAATGCTAGCACTACTATTGCATACAAGAGCTTGTTGAGTTGTAAAAGTATCAATGTACATTGATTCAAATTTTACTGTGGTTGTTGTGAATCTACGGGACTTTGTACTTCTATGACGTATGTTAGTTGGAATAATTTTTTTCTTGATGAGATGTCCTTTAGTAGATTTTTCTGATTTATTATCAATATCAATAATGTCATCGAAGATTTCTTTCACATTTTTAACAAGAAATGATACTAAATTACGGGGGTCGTCTGATTCAGTTGTCTGAAAAAAATCACCGTCACCGAGTTCTTCTACCTTTCGTCTAAAATAAGGTAATCGTTTCTTACTTTTTTTAACTTCAATGCAGTTGGTGTGTATTGTAAAAAGAAATAAAAATCCTAAAAAACATCTTATTGTATTCATTTTTATCATGTGAACAGAAGTTTGACGTTTGAATGAATTATAAAGTCAAAAAATAATAAAGCATAGGAAAATCATAGATGAACTTTTTTCACAGCTGTTCTTTATTTTATAAATAATCAAAAATCAAAGTAAACATTTTATAAAATAATAATATGTAAAATCAAAAATCATTATCCATGCACAAAATATCATTATCAAAGCGTAAGGATGGACACTACAAATTTCTGAACCTAAACTCGATGATCGTCTTTTTGGTCTGTCATCCTTCAACATATCATGTTCCCGACGTAGTCTTAAGTTTTCTCTTGGGTTAATGTATGACTCCCTATTACATTCAGTGTTATTGCAAAAGAAATAAACTGAATTATATAGGGGTTGTGCTATGCATCCTCTGGACACGAAATCTGTTTCATCGTCAACGTTTGTGTAGCAAAGTTGATGGCGACCACATACCATGTAGTCTGCACTGTAAATAACAAAAATTATCGTTACCTATATAACAAACCGTATTCACTAAATGAACTAACACTAAATTAGATCAATTATATCTATGTTACTAAAATACATCTACATTTTATTTTCATGGGTCCTTATCCAATAAAAGCAAGCAAACCGACTAGGTTTACTTGATGATGAAGTGATCAACCCGCGGTGACTATTAGGCAGTTGTCTCAACGGAAACGGAGAACGAGCAAAGAGTTGACCTAGAATTGGAAACGAGTTGTCGACCCGCCAGGAGCCAGTGCTAAGTAGCTGTAGTTCCAATAGTTGCTCCAGCGTGTGCTCACCGGCAGTATGAACAGTCAGCGATCAACTATTCGTATTATGCATCTGTTTACTTTTCACGGAATATACATATAATCTATTATACTAGTTGTTTTCTCGTCGTCGGTGGGACAATAATGCCGTATGTCCTTTTGACCAAACACCCCAAATATTTTTCATATTAAAAATTGTGATAAAAATAGTGCAAAATATTTTGTGTACTTACTTTTTTCCAAAGCGACAGTTTTTGTCTGACGATGGGTTCGTCCCTTTAGTTTCACAAACTTTGCACATTAGTTCCATTCCAGTAGTAGGTACTTGAAGCCTAGCGTTATCAAATTCCCAATCGTTGAGTTTCTTATATTCGTAATGGCTAATGTCGAAGGAGGGTTTGTCGTTACAGAGAGGACATTTGCATATAAATGTTCTATTTACCCTTCCAGGTAATACACAACCTCTTTTTATATAGAGCGGATTAAGTTCCACGAAACAGTGTTCAGCATCACCACATTTTTTTGATGGGATACTGAAAATGTAAAGGCAGAATTAAATGTTGTGGTGGCCCGGAGGTTTAAGATGCACGCTTCTCATGTACGGGTTCGAAACCTACCAACGGCAAGTACCAATGTGACTTTTTCCGAGTTATATGTACTTTCTAAGATTATCTAGACACCACTGACAAACGATGAAGGAAAACACCATGAGAAAACCTGGGCTTATAATATAATTTCTAATTATAAGTTTGTAATCGCCAACCCGCATTGAGCAAGCGTGGTGATTAATGCTCAAACCTACTCCGTATGAGAAGAGGCTTTGCTGAGCAGTGGGCATTTATAGGCTGTTGATGATGATGATGATGATGATGATGATAAAAGGCAGAATTGTATTCCTATACCGTCAGATACAAGAACAAGTAAGTAACTAGAAGTTCATATTTTGTATTGCATCATATATGTATTTTTAAAAGGAATTGAACTTACGCGACTCCGCTGAAACAGTTAGTAGACTTTCTTGAAGTATCGTTTCCATAACATGAATAGCAGTCTATTCCAAAAGTCACAGTGCCGTTTAAAATATCTCTTGATTTTCTGTGAGTATGGAACTCTTTTCCTTTTATTTCATGTTTATCGTTCTTAATATTTTCCGGCAATTGAGAATTATTTCTCAATATTTTTACCAGGTCACGGTCACTGAATGTTTCAACGTCTGCTGGAACAACTGTATTGTTATATACAGTTTTTGCACTGTCGTTTACAATTACATCTATAATATTATCATCATCTGTACTGATTTCTTTAAATAAAGAAAATAATATAAGAAAATTAAAAATATTGTGTAAAATTGACATTTTTAAAGTTACCGCCGTCCAAAACTTTGAGATAAATAATGTCATTGGTTTTGAAAGAAATGACAGAAGATAAAAATGTTTTATATTGACGATGTGAAATAGTTTTTAATGCTTATCATTTTTGCGAATTTTTCGACGCTTTATGTAAAAAGTTGTTTTTGTTTTTTCTTATAATTAATTTTAATCTTTAGTTGTATATAGGTATTTAATTTAGTAATATTTAGTTTTAATTTTTTTTAAGTAATAGTTAGTTTTTAATTTATGTTTCTTATTTGAATAAATGACTTATCATTTTTGTTTATTTAATTATGTTATCTACAAGTTTCTATTTTTAGGTTCTAAATCGATTCCTAAACTAGTTATTACATATTTTAGTAAACTTGCATGTAATTAACACACCAGTTTGAATCACTATTCAATTAAAAATCACTTACTTAGTGAAGTAAGTACAATGATTTTTTATTCAGTTAGTAAAAAGCCTACTTTAACCTACATCGCCTACTCAGTAAGAGTCTGACACTCCCTCCCGCCACACTCAGGCGGGAGAAGTCATTCGATGATTTTCCTCCCTTAAAAAAAGTTAAAAAAAACCTACATCGCCTAAAAGACAAGGAAGGCGTGATATTGGTCTGTCACGTTAAAATGAGCATTTTTTTTTTATGGAGTAGTAGGCAAACGAGCAGACGGATCACCTGATGGTAAGCGATTAGCGCCGCCCATGGACGCCCGCAACACCAGAGGAAACCCAAAAAAGATACCAAAAAAATACATAAAAAGAAGAATTTTAGCTTACATGAAACTTCCTACAGAATGAAGAGGCCAAAAAATTGCACAAAGAAAATTACACGTTGTAGTTCGAGACCATAAAACAATAAACAGAAGAACGGACTATTAAGTAAATTGCTACATTTCAGCTCCGGCCGTACAATTTAACACTTGTTTCATTAAAATTCTGAATATACAAAAATTATATAAATTGGTCTCACTTTTGGCAGCTTTTGCGATGTTAAATATTATTTTGTAAATAAGGGATCCTACCAAGTAAAAGAGGTACTGGGTAAAAGGCCTTCATGCAGAAAATGCGTCTGCTTTAAATTATATTCCACGTTATATACAAGTATTGTCAATTAAGTTTAAGATCCAAAACTAGTATGCATTCAGTTCGTCAGTGATGCCGTCAGAGAGGTACTATAATCCGTATGGGAACGCAAATGTACGTAACTGTTACAATGCACGGTCAAGCACGATATGTAAGGACTAACCAGCGTTAAAGGAAACTTGATAACACCTCTATGCGTTATTGATGCGCTCTAAACCTAGAGCAAGGAAGTATTGGATGCGGCACCTAATTGGATTGAAGTAACAGAAAATTGTATTTGAATTTGGTGGTCCATTTAATGTTGTATTCATCAGAATTGAATTAACATTTTTGAAACATACATGTGTACGTACAGACGTAGTTCACTCCATGCATCAACGGAAACAATACCGGTCATGGTATTATAAGTGGTTTCACGCACCTCCAACCACAGAATGCAAAGACCAAAAGCATAATTATCCTTTCACGTCAAAAGTGCAAATTGGGAGCCATACACACAACTCCTTACACCAAGGTGAAAGGCTAATAGTAACAATTCTGTAATCACGCATCTCCAGGAATAACGTCTTCTCACGTCCATGAGCGGCGGTCCCTCGGCACGACGCCACGCTATAATTCAACCCAATAATGATTCATATAAATTTGCGAAACGACCGAGAGGTGCAAACTGTAAGAGTGAGCGATGCAGTGTATAATTTGCTCGAGTACAGGCCGCGGGCGGATTATGTAGTGTTGCGAACACGTATGTAACTATCGATACAATTTAAACGATTTGCCGCGACGTGTATGTATTTTTATGGAAGACGTGACTTTATGAGGATTCTTCACATTGCTAGCTGCGATAGTATGTATTCAGTGAGGACATTAAAGCATAATATATTATCAACACGAAAATCACCAACAATATTTACAAAACTGGAATATAATGTGCATTGACATCACGAACACGATAATTTAATTTTCCATTGTCACACAAACAACAACGCAAACGTGCATACCGGACCTGAACAATCTATTTTGTTCAAACAATCAAGCATTAGCTAGATTATGTAAATATGATTCATATTTCAAATTCGTCGGACGCATAATTAACGTTTAATTTGATCGGTATTGCAATCTATTACCGTACGATAAACAAACTGGTTAACGTTTCGATAAAATTTTAATATCCTTTGTTCGCTACACTAGTGAAGTGTCATTTGACTTTTATCATTATGAAATATTTTCCTTATTGAAGTTGAAGCACCTTGCATGATTGGTAATTACAAAAGAAGTGTTAAAAAGGAATTGAGTTTATTGATAATTCCTGGATATTGATCAGTTTAGTTATTTTAAATCGACCTTGATGGCTTATTTTACCTTTTTTATTTCCTTATTACACTCTACATCAAATTCAACGACCTACTTGGTTTAATGTTAATTATCAATTAATATTTCTTCATCTTCAAATAACTTGATAAGTCACTTACAAGATGCTTGGACTGATTTCACACAGACCAAGGTCTGTCCGGAAAATTTTCAGATTTTTAAATCCATCTCCCGTCTTTCCACGAGTCCTTGTACTAGACTTGCATGATCTAAGATTTCGTGTGAGAATGTATTGCCTTGCAGGATAAGATGATCGGTCGCTTGTCAATATCCCTGGCTAACCACTTCGTCAGCCCTCATGTTACCTTACCAATATTCATTCGATATTCACTAACGACCATCACTAGTAACTGTTCTTGTTAAGGCGTAGTTATAAAACTAAAAAGATAGTACATACAGTAGCGTATCGTAATCAAGTTAATTGATGAAAAATGTTTTTAGGGTGATTCTTCGATGGTAGATAGTGATCATTGGGTCAAATTTAAAAACGTAATTGGAAGAATTACATCGCGCCTGCGTAGAAATAAATTGATATTGATATAGGCTTCTTATATTAATTCGAAGAGTTTAACGTAATTTTGGGTTAAACCTGAATTTCTTACCTAAATGTAATAAGCAAACAAAATTAAAAAAAAATAGAGGGGAAACACTGGCCATATCTTAGTACATTAACATTTAGTTCTATCGTTATTTTATTTATTAAAGTTTTATACTTTCATAAAAAACAACCCACAAATAGCGATACCGTTGCCAACGCTTTTCTCATAAAAATATCCCTTCAACATCGTATCCGTGTAAAAATATATATGTAATTCAAAATTAGTATTCGCGAAACGTAACGCAAGGAGTAATATCTATGAACATACGCGAAGTAATAACTGTATCGCAAAGAAAAATAATATAACACGAAATAACGTTATATTACTTTATATAAAAATTTTCGAACGGGTAACGACTTGGCTTTTTATTTCGTACCGTTTCTTTAGAACGAGTTGTCAGGAGTAAGAAATTGCATACGACATTTATTTACTTACGGTACAGTTTAACAAAAGTCAGTGCTCAATGATATTGATATATGAGGTTACTTATCTTTCAAAGAAACAGAAAAGAAATGTATAGAATTATACTTTCGACGAAATATTTTATAAACTAAATTTTAATTAAAAATCAAATACCTATATTTTAATCGAATGTCTAATTTGATCATAACCTTAACGAAAGAATAAACCTCATGCCAGTAGTACCTACAAATAAAATAAATCTAACAAATATTATTTAATACTGATGCCCGACATTTTTCACTTACACTTACACGCAGCCATTTCGAAACTCAATCAAGCAATTTTAAATAAATCACGCCTTTTACCCCGAAAGGGGTGGGTAGAGGTCCACATTACGGCACTTAATATCACTGTACAATGTAAAAATATATATCATGAGTCTTTTGTAGTAGGGGGTGAGCCTATTGCCATATAGTGGGCACAATCCCAGACTTTTACGTTCTTCGTGCTATTGAGATTTAAAATTTTACCAAGGGATGGTAAGTAAAACGCGAGTGAGGTTTGGAACAGAATGATTTATTAGAACGTCTACTCGTTTTATTTATACGTTTGGGGTAAACATTAATTTTACTCAAAATATGACGGACCAATCATAAACGACTAATAGTTCACGGGCCTGCCGCGCTCAAGGCGTGTCGCTGCTGTCGTCGAGGCGTCTGGTACATGGCTCCCCCCCAGCGAAGCGTACTGGCGGTTTCGAACGTCTTCCAGTCCTCGTGGTGTAGGCGGCGTCACGATTTGCATCGGCTTCAGGTTCGGAGTCTAGCAGGAATGCGGGTTTTAGTCGGTCTATGGAGACATTCTTTGTTTTTCCATCGACTTGTATGGTGTACGTCTTATCATTCCGCTGTATTACTCGGTGCGGGCCGTTGTATGTGTGCGTGAGTGGTTTGCGAACTGCATCGGTACGCATAAACACATGGGAACACGTCCGTAGTAGGCGAGGTATGTACGTTGTTCGTCGATCGGTGTTAATGTGTGCAGCGGTTAGTTTTTTTATCGCACTTGTTATGACGTCTCCGTAATGAGATTGTGTTTGTTTTGTTATCTTCACACCTAACATTTCGCCGGGTAATCTGAGTGACTGGCCATACAGTGCTTCTGCTGCGGAGATATCTGTGTCGTTTTTTATGGTTGCACGTAGTCCCAGCATGACTGTCGGTAGCTCGCTCGTCCAGCTTGAATTTTGAAGTCGAGCTGTTAGCGCAGTTTTGAGTGAGCGGTGGAATCGTTCTATCATACCGTTTGCTTGAGGGTGGTAAGCAGTAGTACGGGTGCGCTCGATTCCAAGTCGCTTCATTAGGTTTCTGAATAATTCGGACTCAAATTGACGGACCAATCATAAACGACTAATAGTTCACGGGCCTGCCGCGCTCAAGGCGTGTCGCTGCTGTCGTCGAGGCGTCTGGTACAAAATTAATGAGATTTAAAAAAAAAATCCATGTCTTGTATTCACACTTGCGACCATTCGGCCAACGATGCAAGCAATA